GGCGGCGGCGGCGGCGGAGGCGGCGGCGGCGGCGGCGGATTGGCCCCCAGTAGCTGCCCATCCAAAGACGACTGCTGAATATGCTGAGGCTCGGGCCAGACTCGGGTGCTACGTATGTGTTGGGAGGGCGGGTGGGAGTGAGCGAGACGGCTTGCGGGCGGGGAGGGGGTCTTGATCACTGTTCCCTATTAATAAACACCCCCTCCCCGAGGCCACTGGGGGCCAACCAGGGTCCATGCCGACATCCCCACCATCCCTTGTAAAAAACAATACAAAACACACTCTGTCCCCAAATTCGGTCGGAACATGCGCAGCCAACCCGATGCGCCCCCCCCCACAATTCCCTGTCAAAAAAACAATACAGAATACACTGGCGCGGCGGCGGGGCGGCGGCTGCCGGCGCGGTGGCCGGTGGCGGGTGGCGGCGGCGGCGCGGCGGCGGCGGTAGGCGGCGGCGCGGCGGCCGGCGCGGCGGTGGCGGCGGTTTGTCAGGCGGGGGGCGGCGGCGACGGCGCGGCGGCTGGCTGCGCGGGCGCGGCAGCGGCTGCGGCAGCGCTGCGGCGGCGGCGGCGGCGGCGGCGGCGGTAGCGGTGGCGGCAGTGGCTGCGGCGGCGGCGGCGGTTTGGCAGCGGGGGGCGGCGGCGACGGCGGCGGCGACGGCGGCGGCGGCGGCGGCGGCGGCGGCGCCATATTGGCCCCCAGTAGCTGTCCATTCCAAGACGACTGCTGAATATGCTCAGGCTGGGGCCAGACTGGGGTGCTACGTCTGTGTTGGGAGGGCGGGTGGGAGTGAGCGAGACGGCTTGCGGGCGGGGAGGGGGTAACTTGACCCCTCCCCCTACCCCCTCCCCTGGACCTGGAGGGGGGTGGGACGGAGGCGCCGCAGCGTCCAATATGGCCCAGGATGGCTCCAAGAGGCGCTCCAAGTCGCAAGATGGCCTCCAAGATGGCCCAAGGTACTCCAAGATGGGTCAAGATAGCCTCCGACATACCTCCCAGAGGCCCCAAGAGCCCTTCGAGCCCTCCACGGCGCCCTCCAACATGCCAAAACCCTTCAAAAGCCTAGGGAAAATCAATGTTGTTGGCATTCTCGCCTTTTCGCTTCCGATGGGCCTCTGGGACCTCAAGATGGCCCCAAGATGGCCCAAGAGAGCCCCAAGAGGGGCCCAAGAAGGCCCAAGACGGCCCCAAGGTCGCCCAAGAGGCGCCCAAGAGCGGCCCAAGAGAGCCCCAAGACGTCATTTTTGAGCCTCCGAGGGGGGGGGTCCTAATTGAGGGACCTCCTTTTTTTGAGCCATGGGGCCCAAGATGGCCCCAAGATGGCCCCAAGAGGCCTCCCAGCCTCTCCCAAAGACCCTCCACCCCGCCCTTTTTGGCCCAAGATGGCTCCAAGAGAGCCCCAGATAGCCCAAGATGGCCTTCAAAATGGCCTAAGATAGCCAAGCATGGCTCAAGATAGCCTCCGACAGCCCTCCAAGAGGCCTCAAGGCAGCCTCAAGATGGTCCAAGATAGCCGAGCATGGCTCAAGATAGCCTCTGACAGCCTCTAGCCGAGCATGGCTCAAGATAGCCTCCAAGAGGCCTCAAGAAAACCGGCAGTCAATTATGGATGGGCTGGTGGGGATACGCGAAGCGTCAAGAATTCATGACGTCGGGGGTCTGGGCCCTCTCATCCCTCTCGTTCTCGCCCCTCTCCTCCATAGCCTGTCTCCAGCTGCCACCCTCGCGCCCGGGGAAGAGTGAGGGTACATAACGCGTTCTTGATTGTAGACTCTCGCCATCACGTTTCGAGGCTTTCGCGGCCTGCTCGGAGAACTGCTCGCCGCCGCCCGCGCCGACCGCGCCCTCGTCGAGCCGGGCATGCGACACCCCGATCTTCGACCACAGCCTCTTCTCGGCGGCTCAAAGGCTCGAAGAATAGGAAAGGGCACGAGCATATACTTCTGGAGATCTGCGCGGATTTCTTGGATCTGCGTAGGACCCCCCGGCGGTGCCTCCGGCGCCGCCCCCAGCGCGCTCCGCGCGACAGGGATGGGGGTGCAGCGCGGATCCAGAAAATCCGCGCGGACCTCCAACAATGCATGTTGGGATGGGGGTAGAGGGCGGATCCGAGGAATCCAAGCGGACCTTCAACAACTTCTGGTTATGCTGCTCTTGTTCCTCTAGGGACGGGGTCCCTGAGGGCTGGGGCCCTGATGATCGTGCCATCGCTCGGACGTCCATCCCGACTGCATTCTTTGGCTTCGTGCGTTTGTCGCCAGACGATCCAGGGTGCTCCTCGATGGTCCCCGCCGAGGGAAGATGCACACGCCCGAGCGATACCAAGTGATAGGAGAAAGATGCTAGGACTAGGTCGGGCATTCCCTCTTACGGGCGGAGTCTGGACGAAAAATCATGTCAACACATCGATTCAAGAACAGGCACACGTAGCCGAACAATCGTCCCATTCCTCCTGTAGAGGGACATGCCCGTCTTAATGCCAGGATCCTACTGCTGAGCCATCACTGTTCGAAGCCACCCGTCCTCAGGGCCCCATTCCTCTGGGCACCATCTCTGGGGGTACGAAGAGGTACCGATATCGCTAAGTACTCCACCCGCCTCTACTGGGGTAGATTCTGACCAGGAATTGTGACCATGACTTCCACAGTCAACCAGTATCCTAAGGATGCGCGGTAAGGATGCAAGGGCGGAGGCCCACGTGAACGGTTTGCGAACGAGGTTGGCCAGCGAAACTGGCCAAGGATGAGCCAAAGGGGCAGGGATGCAAGGGCATCCTTGGGACGGTTGCCCATTCTCACTGTGGGGTGGATTCTGCTGTGGTTTGAATTCTGACCGGGACTTCGAGGCGAAGCCAGCCGTAGTGACGAGGGATGGGCAGCGCAATCGGTACGGCAAGCTCGCGCCGTGCCGACGTCGGCGACTGCCCCTGACACCGCGGGGACCGCTCCGCCTGGAACGATCGGCGCTTGCCGAAGCGTCAGATCCTTCAACATCGACCGATCCTGGGTCGCCGGCGGCGTTCAATCGGCTACGCGCAAGAGAGACCCTGGGTAAGAGCGACCTTTGTGAAGGGGCCCTGGGACACACAAATAAATACACACAAATAGAAAGATTCCCGATACTTTCTCATATTCTCTGGGTTTTCGTCTTCCCCCCACTGCCCATATTTTCCACTCTCTTCCTGGAATGGACGAGATCCATTGTGTCTGTGTGTTTTTTCCCCTCCTGACTTTGGTGCGCGGCCGACGGGGGACGCGGGGTGGCCGAACCTGGGCGCGCAAGCTGCTGCTGCCTTATCACGGTCGGCGATCGGGGGGCCCCAAGGGCCCTTGCCATAGTAAATGGAAATTAGGACACACAAATAAATACACACAAATAAAAATAGAACCCATATTTTCCAATATTTTCTGGGTCTTTGTCTTCCCCCCCAATTCTCATATTTTCCCATATTCTCCTGGGAGTCGAGGATTAATTGTGTCTGTGTGTTTCTTTCCCTCCTGACATAGGTCACCCCGGCGAAGGCTCACTCCCACGCGTGCGCTGCACGCCGGCAGCGGGGCCGCCGCCGGTCGACACGGCGCGAACTTGTGACATCTTTCCCTCCTCTGGGTCAGATGCTGGCTCTGGGAGCCTTCCTGGGGCCACTCGCTGTGCTCATGCGTGTCGATGCTGCGTCGAACGTCCGTCGACTCGACTCGAACTCGAGTCGACCTCGAGCCGACCTCGAGCCGAGCTGGAGTCGAGCTTGAGGCGAACTGGAGTCGAGCAGGTCCGTTGGGTGGGCCCCAGGCTCCCCCAACGGGCATCTCGCTGACTTTCTCCGAGCCGCCGAGGCCTCGACTTCTGCCGCGCGCCCGGCACGGCGCTCCCGCACAGCCGCCGCTCCGCCGCGGAGGGCGGCAGCCGCGCCGGCCGGGAGCCCGGCCGAGCTCCAGGGGCGCCCGGGCTGGCCTGCGCTGAGGTCGGGCGCGTCCTCTGACAGGCGGATTTTGGACGACAGATCAAAGCAATAGTCAAAATATGCAAGACATAACCAACAAATACTTGCAACAAATCGTCCCCGGACTATGTTTTTGACTATTTTTGAATCTTCCTCCTGTAGAGGGACGGGCCCGAAGTAAGCCTGCGCGCCGGTGTTCGAGCGCAGCAGCTTCCAGAGCTCCCGGAGCTCGAGCTTGTGCTGCCACGCCTGCCGCTGTACGGGCGGCCGCGAGGGCAAGGTGGCGACGCCGCCAGCGAGGGTGACGAGGATGACGGCCACGTCGAGGAGGAGCAAGGAGGAGCATGACGACGAGGGCAACGACGACGATGGCGATGACGACGACGGCGACGAGGACGACGCACACGTCGAGGACGGAGATGATGAGGGCGACGACGACAACGCCTGCCGCTCCAAGGCGGCCGCGTGGACACGGCCGCACTCCTCAAGGGATAGCTCGTGCTGGCGCTTCTGGGAGGTCAGCATCTCCTGGAGGAAGAACCAGCGGCATGAAGATGCAGAGACTTGCGGAGGTCCCCGCGGAGTTCCTGGATCGGCGCTGGCCCCCCCCGCCCTGGCGCGCGCAGCGCGCCAGAGACGGCGCCAGAGGCGCCGCCAGGGGGCCACCAGCGCCGATCCAGGAGATCTGCTCGGGCCTCCGTAGGTGCATGTCCATGCCGCTTCTGCTTCTGCTTCTGCTTCTTCTTTTTCTTCTTCTTCTTATGATAATGATGCCGATTCTTATTATTATCACTATTATTGCCACTACTACTATTATTATTGTTATTGTTATTGTTATTATTATTATTAGTATTATTATTAGGATTATAATGATTCTGATTGCTATTATGATTAATATTATCTTATTAATTGTTAGTATTATTATTATTATTCTTATTATTATTCGTAGTATTACGATCATCACCATCATCACCATCACCATCACTATTATTCTCATCATTATTCGTATTACGATTAGTATTAGTATTCGTATTAGTATTCGTATTATTATTATTATTATTCGTATTATTCTTATTATTATTAGTACTATTATCATTATTATTATTGTTATTACTGTTATGATCATTAATGTTATTAGTGCTACTATTATTGTTATAGTTCCTCTTCTTCTTCTGTTTGTTCTTCTTATTCTGCTTCTGCTTCGTCTTCTTCTTCTCTTTCCTCTTCTCCGAGTCTCCTCCACCTCGCGCCTGTCCCAGCTCTTGCCCCGGTCGTGCTCCGCCTCGTGGCGCTGCCGCCCGGAGAGCGCCGGCCGCGGCCTCCCGCCGGCCCGAGCGGCCGCCGGCTGCGCGTCCCGGATGGTCGGGTGCTGCTAGAAGTGCCCCTGGCCCAAGGCGCCCCCAGGACTCCCAAGGAGGCCTCCGCGTCCTCCAGACCACCCCTCCTCACGAGGCCCAGGGGGCCCCAGGGGCTCCCAGGCGGAGCGAAAAGCTGGGGGCACCGTGGGCCAGGGGTACCATCCCAGACCCCCGACGTCAGGACTTTTTCCTGACGTCGACCCCCGGAGGTTTCGACCTGTTCCCTGGGCCCGTTTTTTTAACCTGCATCCTTCTTTGACGCTCCCGAGGCCCGCTGGGGCCCCCTGGAGGCCGACAAAGGCGAAAAACCTCCGTCGTGGTTTCTATCAGGACTCGAGAGACTGGGGAACGAGAGGGGCGAGAGGAGGAGGAGGAGGAGGAGAAGGAGGAGGAGGAGAAGGAGGAGGAGAAGGAGGAGGAGGAGGATGATGATGATGAGGAGGAGGAGGGGGAGGAGGGGGGGGAGAGGGGAGGAGGGCCAGGAGGGGGGAGGAGGAGGAGGAGGAGGAGGGAGGAGGAGGAGGAGGAGGAGGACGAGGACGAGGAGGAGGAGGAGAGGAAGAGGAGGAGGAAGGAGGAGGAGGAGGAGGAGGAGGAGGAGGAGGAGGAGGAGAAGAGGGAGGAGGAGGAGTAGGGAGGAGGTCTGGGGAGGAGGCTAGCGGAGGCCTGGGGAGGAGGAGGAGGATGTAGTGGAGGAGGTCTGGGTTTAGGCTTAGCAGCCCCCGAGGATGGGGGGCAGGCCGCGCTGGACGGCCCCGCCGTGCGCGTCGTCTGGCGGGTGGCCGCCACCGCCACGCCGCTGCTCGGCAGCGGCGCCGCCGCTGCGCGGGGGCGCCACGTGCCTCGGGAGGGCGCCTGGCGGCGGGGCGCGCGAAGCCCGGAGCCCTCCAAGGCATGGAACACTCATGACGCGGGAGGCTTTTCGCTATTTTTTTCGTCCTCCTCCTCCTCCTCCTCTTGCCCCTCCTCCTCCCCCTCCTCCTCCTCCTCCTCCTCCTCCTCCTCCTCCTCCTCCTCTCATCCCTCTCTTTCCCCAGCCCCTCGAGTCCCGGCAGAAATCACAACGGGAGATTTTTCGCTGTCTTCGGCCGCTGGGGGCCCCCAGTGGGCCTCGGGGCCGCCGAACAGAAGCGACTCAGGATGCAGAGCCGGTCCTGGGGAATGAATGGGTCGAGACTTAGGTCAGGCATGTCCTCCCACATGCAAATTTTGGGCGAAAAACGCAACAATCAAAACGTGTTCAAACACAAGCAAAAACTGCTCCCCAAATCGTCCCCGGACTATCTTGTGACTCTCTTTGAATAGTTCTCCTGTAGAGGGACACGCCCGGGTGAAGTCGAGACCTCTGGGGTGCCCGGCGTCGGGAAGAACTCAGCACGTCGGGGGTCTGAGCAGGGGGGTGGCGCGAGGCGGGCGGCCTTCGCAGCAGCGCCGCGTCTCGGCTTCTTGGCGCCCCTCTCACAGGTGGAGGTGCCACCAGAAGGAACGCAACGCAAGGAACGAAGCCCCCCTTCTGGCGCCGGCAACGCCTGGGTGCACGAGGAGGGCCGGAGGAGCCACCACGGAACGACCCGAGGAGCAGCAGGCCCCTCCCAAGCCCAGAGCGGTCCTCGTCTCGGCGTCTTGCCTGCAGATCTTGAGAGAAGCCATCTCGGCTTCTTGGAGCACTGCTCGGGAGCCTCTGGGCCCCTCCGAGCCCCCTCGCGCCAATTCTTTGGCGGTAGGCCGGGCATGCCCCCTACAGGCGGATCTTGGACGAAAAAGGAGGCATACCCCAAACACATCTTCAAGCAGAGCTCAGAGTAGTAGTTGTTGGGCTAGTTTTGAAGATTCCTCCGGGCGGGGGACAGGCCCGACTGAACCTTTGGTGCGCGCCGCCGAGCCTGGCGGGGGAGGCTGCGCCTGGGTCGGGGGGCTGCCGCGTCTGCCTCTGTCAGCGTGGCGCTGCTCCGCCAGGTCCTGCAGCTGCGCCGCCAGCATGCCCTGAGAGCGTCCGGGCAGGGCTCGGGCTGAGCAGGGCTCTCCCTGTTCGTTCTGTTCTCCTTTCCCTTCGTCCTGTCTTCGTTCTGCCTCTGCTGCGAAGCGAGCTCAGAGCGAACACGGTCCACGAACTCGCCCAAACAGCGTGTAGCTCAAGCCCTGGTGGAGCAGTCGCGGGGAACGAACAAACATCACGAGCCGAACTGCTTCATCTCGAGGCTGCAACTTCTCGAATCAAGAAGTCGGTCCGTGGCAATCCTGGACACCGAGGCCACGATTCGTCGATCCCCTGCCCGAAACGGGTCGCCCTGATGCAGGAAATCATGAAAAAGCAGCCGTATTGATTTTCTCCAGTCGAAGAATCAAGAAGTATGGTCGGACATAGGACAGGACAACATCCTTCAATCATACGAGACCCTCCGCCGACCAAACTGAAGAGCATTCGAGGGACCCCCCCCCCAGGATGCACAATAATATCCAGCAAACACACCGAACATGAAGGTCCCCTCCCCGAATCGATCTCGATCTTATACCTCGGTCCGGTTGTAGGACGCGAATTATGTCATGATGCGACAGGCTCAGGATGCGCTTCAAGAATTCCAGAACATATCTAGCCAGCCTCGCTTCTGGGGCCCGTCTGGAGCAACACTACGTCCTGGAATTCTACAACACCTGTGAGCCTGCCGTCATTATGACTTCTTGATCCTTATGTTCCCAGGCCGAAGCGCACATGGTAGGATCCTGTGTTTCTCAAACCAGACCAGACTTCGACGTTGAACGTTGAACATCAGGACTTCTTGATCCTCAGCAACGAACCGGATCGGCTCGTCACGGCTCCGGCCCCCGAATCGGGGATGGACAGAACCACTGCTAGCATTAAGTCGGGCCTGTCCCCCTACAGGGGGATTTTCGAGGAAAAATGAGACATCCCCCAAAATGCACCAAACAGGCACAAAAACACTAAAACAATAGTCGTCAGACTATTTTTGGACTATTTTTGGAATATTCTGGGGATATTTTTTCTGGGGATATTTTTTATTTTTCGTAGAAAATCCCCCTCTAGGGGGTCACGCCCGACTTAATGCTAGCACAAGAACACCCTCCCGTGAGACCGACCTCCCGGGACCAGACACGGCGGCCCCAGGCCCGCCAAGAGTGCGGCCGCAGCTCCCCCTCGAAAACAGAGGGAGGGGGGGCACCCCTGCGAGCGTAAAATCCTCCTCCTCCTCCTCCTCCTCCTCCTCCTCCTCCTCCTCCTCCCTCCTCCCTCCTCCCTCCTCCTCTCCCTCCTCCCTCCTCCTTCCTCCTCCTCCTCCTCCTCCTCCTCCTCCTCCTCCTCCTCCTCCTCCTCCTCCTCCTCCTCCTCCTCTTCCCCTCCCCCTCCCCCTCGCCCCCCCTCCCCGAGCTGACCCGAAGGCGCCTCACGGTGCATCGGCAGCTGAAGCCGAGGCCGCCGCGGCGGCAGCCCCGGCGACACGCTGCACCTTGCGAGCGGACAGCGTGCCGTCCCGCTCCGCAGGGGCGGGAGGCCGGGAAAGGCTCGGGACGCTGCCGCTCGGGGAGTGGGCACGTGGGCGGCGTGCCGCGCGGCAGCGCGGTGGGCCAGAACCGGAGGCGCCACACCCCGAGACAGAGCTGCTCCCGACCTCGTCGACCTCCGGCGGAGGCCCCGGGGGCCACGCGCCGCGCCCCGCGCCCCAGGATTGGAGGACCCGAGGGGAGGGGGAGAGGAGGAGGAGGAGGAGGAGGAGGAGGAGGAGGAGGAGGAGGAGGAGGAGGAGGAGGAGGAGGAGGAGGAGGAGGAGGAGGAGGAGGAGGCGACGACCACCAGGGCGCCGACCACGACGACCGCTCGCGGGGATCCTGCGGGAAGCCTCGGCGCCCCCTGGCGCGGGCCGCCGCTCGGGCGCCGCCGCGGCCCCCCGTCAGCGGGGAGCCCGACGGAGCTCCGCGGCGCGGGGGGCCGAGCGCATCGGGCCTGGGCTGGCGGCTCCTCCTCCTCTTCCTCCTCCTTCTCCTCCTCCTCCTCCTCCTCCTCTTTCCCTCTCTCCGCTCTCGTCGTCGGTCCGTCGCCTCGTCCTCGTTCTGGACCTCTGTCGTGCTCGTCGTGCCGCGTCTCTGCCGTGGTGTCGGGGTCCGAGGCTTTCAATGAAATTCGTCGGTCCCCTGGGGGCGCCCCCGAGGCTGCGTGCCGTGCAGGGGGCTGTCCCTACAGGGGTTGCCCCTGCAGGGGCGGCCCTCCTCTTCCCACTCCTCGGGTTCGAGCTGCGGACCGTTCTGTTCAAGCTGAACTGGGGCACTCGCCCCCGCCCCACCACTTCCCAGCAGAAGCCCCTCCTCCTCCTCCTCCTCCTCCTCCTCCTTCTCCTCCTCCTCCCCCCCGCAATTGCTCAATATGAATACTACTCTCCCTCTTCCCCTGATGACGTCTTGGGAGTGTTCGCCCCTCCCCCGCGTATTGTTTTTTTACACACAGGTTTCCCCGGAGTTAGGTTTTCGCTTGCATTTTTTCAAAATGCTGCTCTCGCTGAGGCGCCGGCCTCATTTTCGGGCCCCGCTCGTTCTGAATCGTGCTCCCGCTGCAGCGCTGGCATCATTTCCGCCGGCGCCTGGGCTGCACGCCCGAGCCGGCGCCCGGGCCGGCGCTCGGGCCGCCGGGTCCGGAGCAGGTTCCGGCCGCCCCCGGAAAATGGAGTTCCGAGGCGGCGCCGAAAAAAGGCCATTCCAATACACATTTTTCTTTTGATAATGCAGGGTTTCACAGGTTTCGAGCTGAGATTGTTGTTACCGAAACCGCTTGGCTCAAGAAAAGGAATCCAGGGGCTCCGCCATTCCGCATGGTAGCGGAGCCTGGTCGAATGCCCACGGCCAGGCTCCCAGTTTCTCGTTTCTCGCGCAGCGATGGCATCAGCGGAGGAGGTTCTGAATAGGATCGTGGCCATGGAAGGCGTCGTGGTTCAGCAGAGAGATCAGATAGCGAGGTTGGAGCAACAACTTCGAGATGCGAATCAGCGAGCAGCAGCAGCAGCAGAAGGAGCAGCAGACGACCGACCATATCAACAGAGAGCGGAGTCACTCGTCGACACGAAGCTGCTCGGAAAGCCAGATACGTTCTCAGGTGAGCTCGATGAGAATGCGAAGTACAAGGACGGCGTCACGTGGGAGAACTGGAGTTTCGCTCTGGCGGCCGACTGCATGGCGGTGGACCCTCACATCGCGGAGTTGATGCGGGACGCTGCGAAGGTCGACGCGGAGGCTTTCGCACACGAAGATCTAGACGAAGAGGCCCAGCGAGTCAACACCAACCTGTACTACATCCTTGCACTGCTGACGTGTAAGGACAAGGCTCAGGGCATCGTGATGAGCGTTCCCTCAGGAAAAGGCCTGGAGGCCTGGCGACTGCTGTGTTTGGAGTTCGAGCCGAAGGTGCCGTCGAGGTTCTCAGGTATGCTGGACTCGATACTGTATCCGAATGTGCAGGAGAACGATCCGATCAAGGGCATCGTGTCTTGGGAGACGTTGGTTCAGAGATACGAAGAGCAGACAGGCGAGAAGGTCATGGAGTCGATCAAGAAGTCTGTTCTCAGTGCGCGACTGGTGCCGTCAAAGCTTCGAGAACATCTCATGCTGAATGCGACGAGGTTCACGACATACGCGTTGGTACGAGCTGAGGTGTTGAACTACTTGAGGTCGAAGCAGGCGGCGATGGCACTAAGTGGACCTGCGCCTATGGATCTGGATGCGCTCACGTTCGGCAAGTTCGGCAAGGACTCGAAAGGCAGGTGCGGCAAGGACAAGAACAAGGGCAAGGGCTACGACCAGAGCGCGATGCAGCCTTGCAAGTATTGCGGCAAGAAAGGTCACAAGCTCATGGAGTGCAGGAAGGCCACACAGGACATGAAGGACGGAACGATTACGAAGGAGGACTTGCGAAAGATCAGCAAGGGCAAGGGCAAGGGTAAGGACAAGAGCGACAATACGAAGGACACACCTGCGCCCGACAGGCCCAAGGATCAAGACATGAAGTACTCAGGTTACGATTGCGACGCCGAGGAGGGCTACATCTTCATGCTGAATGAGAACGAGACTGAGGAGCTAGATCACATATCGGGCTTAGATCGCACGGAGGTAGACGGATAGACTGTGAATCTAGATAGCAAGAAGGAGCCCAATCACAATTTCAACGAGAATGACGAGAGCTACCTGATTCCGATAGAGTTCGAGAATGACAACGACGGTAAGATCGAGGTGATGGTTGATTCATGTGCGGCACGGAGTGTTTGCCCACCTGGTTTCGCACCAAGAATGCCGCGAGAAGAAGCGGACGCACCACCACTACGACAGGCAGATGGTACTAAGATCTACGCGAACGGCTGCAAGACGGTACAAATGCAGGTGGCTAGGACTCGACAACCAATTCGAGGACAGTTCGATGTACGAGACGTTCACAAGACGATCATTGCGGTTAGCGACCTGACGAAGGGAGCTCAAGGTGCATGGTTCGACGAAGGCGGTGGACCAGTGGTCAATCCGAACGTCAGCCAGCGGATCAAGGAGATGATCGAGTACGAGAACGCGAACAACCAGATGAACAGACCACTGAGGATCTCGAAGAGGCGTGGGATCTACAGCTTCGACGTGGACGCGAACACGCTCTGCCCTCTAGAAGGTGATGAACCTGAACAAGCTCAGCAGCCGGCCGGCGGAGCAGGAGGAGGAGATCGAGACAGACGAGGCGCGACCGCCGAAGGTCAAGAAGGAGAGGTACAAGCCCACAGCGGAGGAGATAGCCATCCACGAGAAGACGCACATGCCGTATCGGGACTGGTGCAAGTGGTGTCTTTGGGGCCGAGGCAAGGAAGATGGTCGCAAGAAGGCTAACCCAGAGGAGGCGCCGACGATTCCAGCCATTAGCATGGACTACTGCTTCGTGAACACCGAGCTGGAGACGGAGATGGTCAACGTCCTGGTGATGGTGCAGAAGCCTGAGGATGCAGTTG